GGCGATGAATTCGGCGAAGGTCGGTTCAGCATTATGTTGGGTTTCAAAGCATTTTCTTATAAGGAAGACCAGATTGGTCCCCCGTCAACCGCCGGGACCTTCCTTTCCTGCGTAAGCTTTACGCCTTCCGCTGTGGTCCCTTCCACCTGTGACACCAACACCTCGTGGAGTGACGCGTATGCAACAAAAAGGAGTTCATATAGTAGAGGCATCGCCATAATCATGACATGACGGTAGAATGACATATCAATACCTAACTGCACCTTAGGTCTGTTGGTGATTGGTTTTTCGCCTCCCCTCCCCATCCTCCCTCCTCCCTCCACTGCCCTCCAGCTGCCACTGCAGCACCATGTGGAATGACCGGAAGTGTGCTCAGCAGGTGTTTATATAGCCCTAAGAGTGTTATCACAACTATCCTGCTACAAAACATTGATATCTCAAATCCTGTAAGCTACCCGATTTGTTAGCGGTTGTTTATCCCATGAGCTTCCTTCTCACTCACTTCATTTTGCGGACGGACACACATACATACAGACACACATACATTACAAACCAGGGTGAATAACGGTCGAGGAATTTCCTCGACCATAGCTCTCTACCATGCGAGAGTAGTGCCGAGAGTGAACATCCGCGCGGAGAGCACAGACGGCACGGCATGGCGAGTGTGAATGTCCGCGCGAGAGATCGTGTCTGATCGGGCAGAGAATCCTCGACGTGCCGTTGAGGAATCCTCAAGCGATATTCACCCTGTACAAACCGACACACCAAGTTAGCGATTTATATAATAGAAGGATACCCAAATCGATGGAAAAGTATTAGAATGGTAAGAAAGTCCTGAGCCGTTTGACATTTTTTGCTTTACTTTTTTATTCCGCGTACAATGGAATCTACTCAACAATATAATCACCATTGTTACTCACTACAGAGTCCCACCTAATGGGCAGGTCAGCGACCCCCTTCTCCCAGAACTGAGCAGACTGAGAGTCAAAGAAATCGCTGACCGCTCTTTCAACGTCTTCAACTTTGGTGAATTTTTTCTTCGCTAAGAATAATAGCCAAGGCTATGAATGCCTAGGTACATCTTGCGTTGATAGTAGTGTGTTGCACCGGCAGTGCATTATCGAACTTAGGAATTAGTCAAAGTTTCTGCTCTCTCACTTGTCATGTTTCAATGATCGTGTATGCGGTGAATACTCGGCGGTTTTTTTAGAGTATGCAAAAATGGTGGTTATTTGGAAAAATAGCTGTCTTCCCACTAAAGTAAATGGAAAAATTAGGCCGTGGGCATATGGGGGTAGGTCGACTTAATGGAACGTTTTCTCAAGGGCATGGTGTCGACTATTGTGCTGATGCCGCTCAATCTGGGATTAGACTGGATTGCTCAGTTTGTGACTAAGCAAAGGCAATGAGAGGCCGAGAAAGAATCCCGAGAAGAGTGTATTAGGTCTGCAAGCGAACTCGCGCAATGCCCCTAAAACGCCCTTGGTCATATTCTTTTCCAGCAAGGCTGAGTATCCACATCTGGAATCCCTCCAGGGCTTTACATCCTACAGAGCTAAACAGACTGTCATTCAAACGACTTCTCCTTGGTGTTATTCGTAATGCATTAATCCTTGGGATGCCTCGTTCAGTACGGCTGAAACCAGCACGACTGCTCCTGACGCCGGGCTTGGAGGGGGGGGGGAAGGAACAGAGACGGTATTGGTCGCAAATAATCATGCCGTTGATCGCAACAGAGGTATTGTCACTAGCAAGACATCCTGCAACCTCATGCCGCATATTTAGTTCGAATGTAATGCAGCGTAATTTGTAGCTATTTATAGTTGTGAATTTGGCCCAGTCGGGCCTGTGCTGTCCAACTGCAACGGCACTATCATTACACATTTGTCGATTTCTCGAAAAAAAAAAGAAGGAAATCACGCACCCTTGCTGTCGGATCTGAGATGTTCTCAATTTCCCTGTCGAATATTGTCACCACTTTCAACCTGTTTTGTTGTGCTGTGAAGAAATCATAGAATCTCAAAAGGCGCGAAATTAACTTGCCTCAGCTGTATGGACCGCATTAGTTTTCTCACTTGGGTTAGCGCCTTCCCCAACCCATACATAGATACGGTTAAGGGCGTCAAGTATCATGACGTCGTCACCATCAAGACTCTGAAATGATTAAAAAATTGTATGCTCGAAGTCAGGCCGTCAAAAGTCTCTCACAAAGTCATGCACATACTATCGGTCTACCAAAAAGCCGAGAAAGCCGCGTTTAGGTTGGAGGCCATGGAGCATCGCACACCCCCTAAAATGTGCAGAAATTTTTCCCCTGGCCCCCATATTATACTGTAGCAGTCCCATTGTTGCGCAGTTGAATATAACTCTACTCAGTTTATCACCCCAATATAGCGAGCACATTTTCCCATCATAAGGTACTACTCACTATGAATTTCAATACTAGCCAGTGCAGGATCTCTATCTTAATACCACTCCGCGCTTTTTCAACGTGCTAGAGAAGTGTAAGGAAGTCTGACGCGAGCGACTCTGTGTGCAGCTCATTTTCCTAAAAGTGAGGGTATATAGGGACCCACTGGTAGTACCCTAGGCGGCCCGTCGCGCGGCAAGAAGGCAGAATCGAGTCGCAGCGCGTGAGCGATGTAGAAAGTACAATGGAAACTTTCTATTTAACTTGACGCGAAATCCCTACAGTACGCGCGGACCTCGTCCCCCCCCCCCTGGACCGCCTTCCCCGCCCTTTTCTTTTTTGTCTCGCGCGAGCGGCCTCACAGAGGAACCGATCCATTACATCTCCTTGCTTACGCTCCCTAATATAATTAGCGATCTCTTCGACGTTCATTCCTCCAGTCTTGTCGGAAACTTGGAACAGGTGTGGCACAAAGGTCTTAGTAGTTTTGGTATCGACCCACTCATCAAACCTGATTAAGGGAATTCTAAGTTTTAGCTGTGCAAAGAAAAACCGCTCGAACCTGTTTACTTAGCAAGCCCTCATGCAGCTAATGAGAGAAACATCGGAATAAAATCTCACCATTGCGTAAACGAAGCCGGCTCAGCAGATTCCAGTACTCGTGTCACAGTATACCACGGTGGTAGGTTCTGAAACTAAGAACTCGTTTCTGCTAATTGCACAGAACGTCAATGACTTACGTATGCCTCGATGAAGTCTGTTCCTATAATCAGTGCTTTTGCGCGTTCTTCTTGGGTGCAGCCCTTGCCGATCCACACGAAAATTCCAGCCTGACCGGCATTGAGAACAAAGGCATCCTTAAAACGATTGAGCATTGAAATGCTCCTTCCCGGAAAATTTTTGCTTTTTTTCTCAACGTGAGTATGTATGTTCGCTGTGATCCCTAGAACAACATACAAAGTTTCACGCACCAAGATTCAGTTTCCGAAGAGAAACAAACTTACGAAAAACACACTCTATGGACAGTCGATGGTAGGTCGCAAGAGATGGAAAGAAGTGCACCTTGCTTCGATAACTTATGAGGCGACGCATAGAGAGAATCGGGTTAAAAAACGCGTTTAGCGAAAAGAATCGTAGGGTTTGGGTCGAAAAATGTACTCTAGATTGATGCAGACGCTGTGAGAACTTGGTGGAGGAACAGTCTATTAGTAGAAATTCGGCATGGGGAGATTCGTAGCCTTTTAGGCACACTATACACTGCGGCCGCAAAGCGTCATTCATTGGTACAGTGCCGGAAGAGAAGCAACGTAAATGAAGGAATTATCAGGCTAAATATGACCATGAGAATTTATATTTAACACGTTGACGACAGCGCAGGTTTTGGCTTTTTCCGCCGCATGGGACATGGGCGCTTTGGCGGGCGCGATTTGCCTGACGCGCAAGCGCGTCAGCTTGTCCCACGAGGCGTTTTTCGGAACTCAAAACTGAAAAGTGGCAAAACAAGGGTACAACGCTAATTGAGGGGAGAGGGCTTCCGGTGAAGACGCACGCTGCTTGTCTCTACCCTCTCAGCGAAATACTAGTGATGACATCAATGCAGAATAAGGAATCCATGAGCCTGGGGGAGTATAGCCAGCTCGGGAGGGGGAGAGGAGGGTCATGCGATTCGAATGACATGCGTGGAAACCTAGAATGTGCATGTTCACACTATCTCTTCGGATAGATGACTCCAAGAAAGTGGTCGAATAACTGCTGAACGTTGAGCGTGAATACTTCTCAAGCCAGTTGCTTCCCACGTGACAGATGTCAGAAGAAGTAAGTAAAGGTTCAAAAGGAATTAATAGCACAAAGTGTTTAGAACATTATGCAACTATGTCTAAAGAGCAAGGATCTCTTTGCGGCCTCAAAAACAAGAATCAAAATGCGCTGCGGAAGATGTCGAAAATTCTTTTGTATAGACTGCTTCAATGAAAAACACAAATCATCCATAGAACCGTAATTCCTTACATTATGTATCACATTGTTGTTTGCATTTATATTTTGTTTTTATGCTTGTTTACCCCAAAATAGTAGTCGGAGATTAAAATAAACGGAAAACTTAGGTGAGGTTCAGAAAACCTTCGCTTAACTAAAGCATATTCGACCGCTTCATGGACCACACCGTTTACAGGCATGATGATGTATTGTCTATATAATAGTGATAAAAAATTTCGGAAGAAGTCGGACATGCGCGGAAAAAAATAGGTACCAAGATGCTGACGCGCTTGCGCGTCAGTCTGTCGTCAACGTGTTAATTAGAACTAGCAAGTTGTGTAGACAAAACACCTCTCAAATGACTCCGAGTGCATAGCGCATACCAGAACGGAATGGATCTGCGCCGAGTATATCATTTCCTATTTACTCCATCGAGCTGACGCTGTCTCAGAAACATTTTGAGGATTTTTAAAGAAGTTCCTTACGGCGGTGAAGGAATGAGGTTTCGAGTGACTCGGGAATTTCCTCCACGCAGAATACTCGCGATTTGGAAAACGTGCAAACAACTGCAGCATATTCAGAAAGTGTCAATCTCCTTCATTGCGGTGGTTCTATTAGATTTCCAAAATATCCTTACTGAAGAAGTTATAGTCTCCCAAGTTTGAAAACACGCGTGTAAATTTCGACTTCTTCGACAAATCCTCGAAGTCTCCAACTTTCAAGATGAGACGTAGTTGAACAAAGGCGCAAAATTTAGGACCAAAAATCGCGTGAATTTTGAATCCGAATTTCTTCTATGGAATAATTGTAACTGCGTAAAATTATAGTCCATCAAAAAGGGAGTGTAACTATCTGACATTTTTTCCAACTAGGGCGCTCCAATCGAAGGGCACGTGCGAAGCGACCACAGACGGTCAGTGCCGCTATTTCGGAGAGCGAGACTGTTCAACTGCCTGTGGGCAGTGCCTACATCCCTGTCTGCCCCCCGTTTTCTATAAGAAGTTTGTACCCTGTTCCTCTTTTGCTTTCTCGTCTATCACAAGTTACATAGTATTTGCAGGTTATGATCCAAAATTTCTTCGATTTTGACTGGTTCTGTTCCGCATAGATCTCTTTTAAACCACATCACACAATATAAAAGTCACTATGGGAATGCTTACAAGGAGGTCTTTCAGGACATGGAGCGCTTTTCCAAAATGATTTCCTGCACTTTGTAGAGCTCATGCGAGGAACACAAAACCATGGTCCGTTTTTCCTGAACGCTTCTAGGAAGGTCAGAATAGTGGAGAAGAGATGGTCCAAAGTTCGATCCTCCGTGATGTCTAATTTTTGCAATTTATGTTGGCGCCTCCAAATTGTGTCCAAATGGCACCAGCGTCGATTAACATGTCATCCTCGTAATTTGGCGACAATTTGGAGGCTCCAACATGGATTGCAAAAATTTGTCACCGGATTGAACTTTGGACCATTTCTTCACCACTGTTTTGAGGTTCCCCAGAAGTGTTCAGGAAAAATGGACCATAATTTTATGTTCCTCGCATAAGCTTCAACAACATGCAAGGAACCAAGCGCTTCATAACCTGAAACCCTTGAGTTTCCACGTTAGGCTGCACGAGGCTCTACTTTATGGGTCATAGGTGATGTGTGGTTCCCTTACTCCTCTTCTCTGCACCACTCCCACTTTCATTTCCGATAATGACGAATTATCCTGTATACTGCTACCTAAACGCTATGGGAGAGCTTGCTGTAGATTGGTCATTCACTCACTTTAGAGTCCAACTGACTGCGCTTAATTTCTCCTTTAGCGACACTTGTAACCTTCATGTTACCAGTAGCATCTGAGACCCTGAAAAGGAAAAAGTGACACATCTGTAGGAAACAGGTTCCAAACGCGGTAAGGCCTACCTCCATAGACTCAAATTATCTGCCGTCTCTTTCCAATAGTTGTCGTCATCGTTCTTGGGTTCTGGTATGCTCCTGACAACACGCGATCCTCCAAAATGTGACCAGAAATCTTGATTGATATCCCAGTCGGCATCTGAACAGCAAGGCATTTAGGCATTGATCCATCATTTTTGAACCATACTCAATTCAAACCCAATATGTGGACTTTAGTTTCTCCTTGTCGTTCAACTTCAGCAATATCCTTTGCAATTGCCATACCCTAAAAATTACTGTTCGTAGACTTTTGATACGGTTGAAGACGTTTTTTAGGAATGACCTTGATTCTTTCGATACGTCCACTCTTTTTTGGCATCCAGACGTAAATGTCCTTACCAAGATCCAATAGGAAGACATCACCGAGGTTCAAGGACTCTTTTTTTAATGGAACCTTAATTGTCATTTTGTGAATGTGCGGTTCAACGAAAAGTTATTCAACATCATACACAACAAACACCAACACGAATACCGAATGGTGGGTGGGAGGAAGTGGAGGGGGTAAGGGGGGGAGTAGTCATTGAGATGATCGCGGTTCCCTGTCTACAACAATGATTTTGTATTCGACTAACTAGCTGAACTAACTATGAAGTCCACATAGAACGATCGCAGCGCTGTGAAGCCATGACAGCCAAGCCCAAATAACTTGGAAGTTTAAAGGCACCTCACCTCAATGAAATGAACAGGGCGAAATTGAAGTTTGTCAAGGGGCCACAAATTCCGGGAGAAGCGGAATCGCGCTCACCTCACTCAGCTAGAAAACATCCATCCATTTAGCAAGTTACAGTTATCAACGGATACAGTCTCTCCTAGCACCCAATCACCTTTGCAATAAC